GGATTGCGCAAGATGCTTCTGAAGACTACCCCGCTCACGAACAAGCAAAAGGTCATCGCCGGCTGAACAACCTTTTCACTACCCGAGCAGCTAGAGCGCAAAGAAGCTGCTTCCAAGTAGGAACCGGTATAGCGTCTCTGAGATGGGCATGCACGCACAAGACTATACCTGAAGAATGGCTTTGCACATGAACCTCTCCAGCAACAGATCGCACTAAAGACTGCCCATAAGACCGTGACCACCAACATGTCCTTCGTCCGTCGTGGGAAGGCTAACAGCCCCCCAATAGCAAACGGCATGCATGCTAAGCTCAGCATCAATCGACAAGCTCAGTACTCTGCGTGCTGTAAATGTAACGCACTCCCTGCTCCGAAGGCCGCCCATGCAATGCGCGCGCATTCGAAATGCCGGCCGCTGCCTCTTCCTGGATAACTGCACAGCGCATCTGAGCATGGCGAATGCCCCAACCACAGTTTATGCACGCGCTTACATCAAGCCAAACACAAACTCCGGTATGGGAGCACTAGGAGGTCAAGTTTCAGCTTCCTGGACAACGTTAATCGCAAGCTTCTGTTTTCTCGGGAAGGCAGACACCTACGCAGGAGCTTGCTGTAGCGCTTACGCCGCCAGATAGCACACGCAGACTTGACTGCTCAGAGAGCTGCGTGTGTAGGATATGGTGTTTTGCGTCTGCGGATCGTTGTCGTGCATGCGCCCGCATTAGTCCAGAGGTGCACCTTAACCTATCAAGCCGAGAGGGTAGTTACCGCAACCCAGCCAAGCACAAGCATATTCAATTGCCATGCCTTCTCTAGCAGCGGTTCGAGGCGCCGCATACGGCATGCTCGCTCAAATATCTGCACTGCCGCCGCAGCCCACCAACTCCGTCGAAGCATGCCGTAGGAAGGACCGCGTCAGCAAGGTCTAATCACATGCAAACACTTGGAAATTCTCCTGTGTTCGCCATATACCGTCGAAAGCACACTGTAAAGTACGAATATTACGGCACACACAGCGAGTCTAGCGGTCTTGCCAGCATCCCCCAATGAAATGAACTTCCCAGTGCAGAGAAAATCCCATTGGCACCCAAAGCTCACGACACGCGCCCAGGCACAAACAACACTGATGTACATGCAAAGACCAGCGCCGCGTTAACGCATGCTACTAAGTGTACCGCCTACGAAAGATACAGTCGACAGCTCACGTCCTGCACCGCAGCAAAGCTAGTTCGAAATGCGCGCTACCTACATCTTACCAGACACGGTCGGGTTTTTATTAAATGACTTAGGCTTTAGGATTTCCAGCGGGAATTGATGAAGTGATTTACCAGCCTATCCTCCTCAGCACCTTATATTGTCCGGAGGAAGCCGCAAGCTTAAGCATTCCTATGCTGAATAAACGAGACTGAAAAGCAGAGTCATGAACAGCAAACACCGAACAGGAAAACGTTGGAAACGACCAGTCCACAACTCGAAGATACCAGGGTAGATGACGTGGCCCCTAATGACAACTCTTTGTGCAGCGCCCCGCAGTGCTGCCTGAGTTCTCTCGCGAGCAAACACTTACGAAACGGAGGCGCCATTGCTGCAGGTTCGTATCGGAGAAGCCGGAACGATGCACAATTGTACGGCCTTAATTCTTGCGCACCCATATGACTCAAAGCATCACAGCGAAAATGGCACTGGGAAGACAATTCCAGGGGTGGTTCAAGGACGCCCGAGAGAGGCAGAAAGAGCAGACGCAATTCCTCTTGTTGGAAAGCATGGCTGCACAAGCACGTCGGCCGCTTGAAACTTGCGACAACGAGCTGATGACGAGCAAATGCTGCAACCGACATGCGCTGGCGCAGCTGGGGCAGAAGCCCGCAACAAAGCATTGGGCCCTGACAGGTGGGAATGCGGCGCCACCACCGCATGGCGTTTCTGAGATGCATATTTTGCTAATCGATGAACGATAAAATGAAAGCGTTATCCGCGTGGTGAAATAGGAGAACAAACCTCTCGATGATGTGACCTTCCCTGCACAGTGCCGTTTCCGCACTCGCTGACGCACGTGGGGGCAAGCTCCACAATCGTGATACTCGTAACCTACAAAGCCGTGCAAGCACTGGCCTCTTCGTTAAGCTTCAACTGGATTGCATCTTTGTATTGCCACGCGAACGCAACGATACCGCGCATTTGTAGCTAAAGCCGAGTCTCAGTACGGTATGTGGGGCTACATATGAGCCGGAAAGCTTCTTTGTGTTGGTGGAGAGCATATGCAGTGGGTCGAAGGCGCCAAAGACATGTATACTGGCC